TTGCAATTCTGCTTTTGGTTCGAGGTCACAACTATCTGGTCTCCTGTGTATGATGCTGCTGGGTTTCTGAAGTTCGCTATCACTCATTTTCCTTGCAATTTGGTATTGGAGATGTGGTACGGTGCACTAATCTGGCGCTTGTCTTCTGCCTATGGGGTACATGCATGCAGTCTGCTAAGCGAGCGGCCGTAGGGAGTGTGTAGTGAGGAAGGCGAAGGCAAGTAGGGCGACCCAGGAGGTGAGGGTTATCGCCAGGAAGGCTACTTGCTGAATGGTGGGTGTTCGCAGTGTGATGAGAACTATCTGATGTGTGATTGATGCTGAGGTGGAACGGCTATGTAATGCTGGTTGTGCCGAAGCAGCGATTGGTCATCACAGTCGGCATCGGGTCATCTGGTGGGAATATCTGTGGTTGGGGGCAGCTATTTTGAGGTACGTTGCACCTAACCCTATCTACCCTCTTCGACAATTCTTACTGTGAGGATGTGTGTTCTGTCTTGAGAGTCCTCTCATGTGAGGAGTCGAGTGCACTCAACCTTGAGAGTTGGCATTGTTCACGTGGAGCATCTGGAAGGAGCGGGCGGAGCTATCTGAAGGGCCCTGGACGAAGCACTGGGTCACGGTCACCATGCCAACACACCGGGAGTAGAGCACGCATGCTTTGCTGCTTTGTCGTTTGTCTTCTTGCTGCGCTCATAGATGGGTTATGAGGGGCAGGCCAGCCCTACAGGGGAGACGAGAACCGGACGTCTATAAATAAACATCGGCGGGGTACCTTCCATTGGCTGTGATCGTCGTCCTGTCTGCGACATTAAAGAATTCCTGAGGACTGCGGGGGCCGTTCTTAAACGCCTCCTGATCAGCCAATCAGCTGGTGTAAGCATGCGAGGATAAACAATGTGCAGGGCTGGTCAACTCAGCATATACTCGGGGCACAGGGGCGGGGTGTGTGCACACCTTTAGACAACATGCTGCTCTGGATCGCTCAGGGACGTTGACGTCAAGTGACCATCAAGAGGAACTGAGGGAGGCGTAGATTCCAGGTAATAAGTTCGTGTTCAATTCCACTCTACAAATATCCACACAGACGATTCTATTTGTATTTTGATTAGTTAGATGGACTGCCATGGACATCTGACATACAACATTAGATAGAAATCTGCTCTCTATTCGTGGACTAATTAAGTAAAAAATATTTTCGTTTGTAGGAAATTGAACTTAGTTGTTGGACCCGAATGCGTCGGTTAATTAATTTGTTTATTTTTAAATCAGCCTATGCATGACGCTGCGGTAGGCATCGAGTGAGTGACCTAGTGCAGACGGTGTGCAGTTCTGTAGCTTATGAGCGACAGGGAGGAAACTAGAGAGGACGACCGGATCCTACGATCAGCAAGGCCCCGATAGCCCACTTGGCATTAGGACCAGAGGGCGACAGATTCCTGTTCCGCCAACAGAGAGAGAGGCAGCAGCAGCAGAGACGAGCTAGGGACGCAAAGGTAAGCAGGGCATTCGCAAGTGCGGCCGCTACTTCAGCAACCATGGCAACTGCTGCGCAGCAGGGCTCTCAGGCTAGTAGTTCAGGGACTGTTACGGTCACACATACCCTGAGTCAGTCCACTGGCGTCATGCCGTTAGTTCCGACTCCCGAAGAGATCTCCATATGACAAGCCGATGCTCAGGAGGCACAACTACATAAGGCTTTAGGGGAGATAAAGGCAAATAAAGAGATAATGATCAGGAGAAGAGTCGGGATGCAGCGGAGACAAGTGAATATTAGTGAGTTAGAGGAGATGAACCTGATAGAAATGGATGATGATGTGAGGACCCTGAGGACGGTCTTGCTAGATCTAGTAGAAATGCAGGATCACCAAATGGCGCTCTTACAAGACATCCAACAGAGCCTGGCCGAGCTAATTGGGTGAGCTCAAGTGACACCATCACCATCAGGGTCCGGTGCCTGGCCCGTGGTACAACCTCCTCCTTCTGTCCGACTGGTGAGTGGGGTATCCCCATACATAGCTCCAACATCGGTACCGACCGCTTCCCTAGGAATGCCTTTGACCGGAGGGTTCTTAGTAGGTCCTAGTGTACAGATTCTTGTACAGATAGTGTATTCCCAACCTCCGTCACAGGTTGCTGTGACTAGGCAGCCTGCTGTCTCGCAGCCAGCACAACAGCTGGGCACACAGCCCCAACAACTGTCAGTGCAGCAACCTGTGCCCCAGGGTCCACAGCCCGGAGTGGGGCAGGTACCGGTGTGAGGAAACCCGGGGAGGGGTCGCCTACTGTTCGCTGAAGCCAAGGGCAACGGAGCCTGTCACTCGCCGTGCCCGCTTCCGAGGTCCTCAACGACTAGGGCGTGTCGGGGTCTGCGCTGCCTGTCACACTCACTCCTTAGTGCTCAGCCAGAATTTTTCATTACACACCCGAATAAAGGCGAAACTAGAACAAAAATACTGATTATCACAGACTTTCAATTTTGAGATCTTTGGCTATATCTCATTCCAATGCAGTCCCTTGTTTTATCAGATTTACGGGAGGGGCGAGATTGGGATCCGTGTTTATAATAATAATGCTCAGAGAATCGTTCGATACAACAAGAAGAAAACAACAAAATTTTTTACTGGTACGCTGTCTCATAGTTTTCACCAAGTAACAAGGGGGGTGTTGTCTTGCATGTCCCTTTTAGATTGCCACACAGAACCCGCTAATGGAAACTCCACCGTTTTCCAATCAGTTCTCTCTCTATTTGGAGAGTGGAGCGCTGAACCCTAGGAGATGGTGATGCAGGCCGGGCTGGTTTAGCAATCTTTTTACCATCAGTTTCATTCTGATTCGTGGTCCATCGAGGCCTTCTATTTTATAAACAAAAAAAAAGTAGCGTGCGCTAAAGAAAACGCAGAGAGAGAGAGAGAGAGAGAGAGAGAGAGAGAGAGAGAGAGAGAGAGAGAGAGAAATAGAGAGAAAAAGAGAGAGAGAGAGAGAGAGAGAGAGAGAGAGAGAGAGAGAGAGAGAACAGTTCACGAAACCGTTCCCCTGAAATACCCCCCACCCCCACCCCCCGAAAAAAAACTTCTCTGTTCAAAGTTTTCTCAGCGGATTCGGGGAGATCTCAGTGAGCGCAGTCCAACCATGTTTTCAAAAAAAAAAAAGAAAAAAAAAAAGACCCAGTTTTGGTCCCAACCAGAATTCTGGATGGACCAACTGGGGTCCAATCGGCCCGGTTGGGACCGGTCCGGTCCAACCAGGCGGTTGACGACACAGCCCTGCATTTTTGAGTTTTTGAGTTTTTGAACGAATTGAAACCGCGTTTTGGCCAAAAACAGGTCAATTTGTTTGGCTCCTGAGGTGGATGTCTTTGGACTTAGCGGGAGACCAGATGCATCCAGGGGGTCTGGGGTTTTAAGAACACCAGATCCCCAGGACGATGTCAAAACGTACATTTTACATTTTTCGAACGAAATTGAAACTGTCTTGTTGGACCCTTTTTTTGTGTGTTTTTCTAATGTTCAACAATTTGAAACTGAAAGTGTCCGAGACAATGGATGGAATCTGAATGTTTATGAGGCAGAAAGACGCAAAAATGCAACTAAATGTTAGCAATAATTATACTATGGGGCTCGTTCGACACTCCTCGGGTGCGTAAAATCCCCGAGGAAATCATCGTTCCACCTATCCTCAGGGAACAAAACGAAAAAAAAATGTGAAAACATTTCCTCGGGGTTTCCTCCGGGATTCCTCAGGCTACAGCCATTTCGACGCGTTCCCCAAGGGACCTCCCGAGGTCCCTTGGAGGTCGAGCGTCCGGAAGAATTGGAGCGTCCACGGCAACTCTCTCCACGACAATTTTCGACGCGGCTGGTCCATTGCTGTTCCTGGCGGCCCGTGGACGGACATCTCCGGTTGGCAACGGTCGGCGTCACGGAATACTCCCCCAACGGTCCCTTCAGCGGCCTGCCGTCCTTCGCGACGTCGGAAAGGGGCTGCCTTGCATTGCCGCCCTTCGACACTGGTGGGAAAGCGCCCAACGGTCGGCAGATTCGAATACTTCAGGCCGCCCGCGCTTTCCTGATCGCGTTGTGTCTTTCGCGACGGAGCCCGTTACCCACCGTTTGTCGTTAGCTGCGATTGGCCATTTTTGGCAGAGTGTCCGTCGCCGTTTCCTCTGCGTCCACGGTTGTCTTGCAGGTGCTCGCGTCGTCCACGTGCGTTTCATGGCCGACGTCTTTCGGAGGCTGCCACTTCTGGTGCTGGTCGTCCTCCTGCTTCTCCTCGTAGTGCTCTTCCACGTCTGTGTCGTCGGCATCGTTCCGGGACGTGGGCGCAGGCGACGGTGTGCCAAGAAGGACGTCAGTATGGATGGGCGGCAGGCGGTTGGCAGGTCTGCAGGGGGTGAGGGTGGTGGCCAACGGGTCGGGCAGAGCCCGTGTAGATCAAGGGCGGTGGAGCGGTCGGAGTACGCGCACCTGCCACCTCACTTGCAGCCTTTGCCGGACACATCGGACGAGGAGGAGGACGACAGAAGTTCACGTGCCGTGCCGCTGGGAAGCGGGTCTACATAGGAGTGGACGACCACAGAGCTTTGTGTAAGCCGCGAGGCCAGTTACGGGCAGTCGTACACCCAGCTCCTCCAGCAGGGCCTGAGCGGCGATGAAGGAGATGGAGGTGTGAATCTGACGTTCGGTCTGTGCAGTGGGAGGTCATCGTCTTCAACGCGGACAGTGCTAGTCAACAACCGTCCCGATAACGATGGCGGCCAGGTGACGGCTGTTGCACGACCATCGAAGTCTCCAGCGTCGTCGGTCCGCGTGGCATCGGGGAACAACAGGGATCCTCGTACGCAGCAATACAGGGCGCCGTCTGCTTCAAGGGGTGCCTCGGCTCGCCCATCGTGGATGTTGTCCCCGTCTCCCCTGTCCGCGAAATCGAGTGCGGCTCGCAATCGGGGGGAATGAGGGGAGCATGATTGCGGGATCGAGAAAAGAGGTGACGCACGCGACGGGAGGGAGGTGTGGGAAGAACAGCGACGGATGCTCCATCCGCGACGACAAGAATCCATAACACGAGGAGTGCAGCGACTGCGAGTGGTGGACGACGAAAACGACGGCGACGCACCTGATGTCGGCGGCAACGATCAGGACTTGAACGACGACGACTGCGGGGGTGGGGAGGACGACGCAGGGCAAGTGTGGCCATCCAAGCAAAGCAGCATGGTGGGGAAGGGCGGTAGGGCGAAGGCGTCTATTCGCAACGGTCGACGAGGGAAGAAGCCGACGGGGAAGGGGAGCGACGTCGAAGCTGACGGCGATGCAGAAGGCGGTCGTCATTTTTGGTCTGTCGACGACATGGTGGCCCTGATACGGGCTAAACGTGACCAGGATGCGCATCTGCAGGGAATGGGCACTGCGTACGCTCGTATGAAGCTGCGAGAATGGAAGTGGTTGGATGTGGAGCAAAGGCTGAAGAAGGTGGGCGTGGAGAGGGAGGCAGAACGGTGTGGGAAGAAGTGGGATAATTTGATGCAGCAGTTCAAGAAGGTACACCACTTCCAAGGCTTGTCTGGGAAACAGGACTTCTTCCAGTTCACAGGGAAGGAGCGGTTGTCGAAGGGCTTCAGTTTCAACATGGATCGTGCGGTTTACGACGAGATCCTGGGGTCGACTGCCAAGAGCCACACCATTAACCCCAAGAACGTCGCAGACACTGGTGCTCCGGGGGGTGTGCGTCTGTCGTCGGCGAATTCTGGTGATCCGGAGTCAGTCGGGGATCGGGACGCAGCTGCAGGGCTGGACGATGACGACGGCGGGTCGACGAGAGGTTCTTCTCAGACGACGGGAGGCCCTGCTGGCTTCAGCAAGAGGAAGAGCACGAGGCAGCAAACTTTCGACACTCTGTCGGAATGCATGGAGAAGCAAGGGGCTCTGGTGGCGTTGACGATGGAAAGCAACAACAAACGGCAGTGTTCAATCCAAATCCGGCAGTGTGAGGCATTGGAAGCGGAGGTGGAGGTGCAAAAGAAACACTACGCTGCGTCCGACGAAGTTAGCAAACTGATGTGCCACGCTCTGCTTGAGATAGCGAAGGCCATCCGCGAGCGTTAGCCGCCGTTTCTGCTTCTGTCTGCCTGGTCGAGTCCATCGTTATCACGGCATTGGTAGTGTGTGGTCGTGCGGATGGGTAGATGAGTCCCCCGTTTCAATTCACGTCTGTCGACGTGTGTCCTTCGCTTATTTCGGTGATTTTTTTATATTTATTTTTATTTTTTTTATTACGCTCCAATTACTTTTCACAGAGCTTGTGTGTTGCGACATGTGTATCCAAACTCCTTTCGGGATTTGCCGCGGGCTGCTGTCCTGCGGCGGGACGGACAATTTCGTCATGTTTGATTTTGCAACGGATCCGAAAAAGTGGATAGACCACTTCCCTTTTTTATATTTGAAGCAGGTCTGTGTTATATCTCTCCCTTTCCATATCCATCTCTCTCTCTCTCTCTCTCTCTCTCTCTCTCTCTCTCTCTCTCTCTGTAGGTGTGTGTGTGTGTGTGTGTGTGTGTGTGTGTGTGTGTGTCGTGGCAGTCACTCACTTGTGGTAGTGATCAAGAGGCGTACCAGAAGTACATAAAGGTTTTGTCTTGAATGTCGTCCAATTGTGGAGTGCTGTTGTTGATGTCGTGAACAGGCAAAAAAAGTCGTTGATGTGCATGATATGATCCCTTGGAGATTGGAACTTGTCGTCTGAATGCGGATGTCAATTAATGATAGTTGGAGACTTGCAAATGCGGATGTTTGCTGGTATCCTATTTTTTGCTGTTATCCAACCGGGGGTGTGTTCGCGGTTGCCAAACGTCCGGGCGGCGGTAGGGGGACGTCGCCAGGACGAAAGCGGGTGTCCACAAGTCCCCCGCCATTCAACAACCCGCAAACACTCTCCGCCCTCCTTTTTGTTTTTTGTTTTTTTGGATGGGGGGTGGTTGGCGGTCCAATCGTTTGAGGGGAGGGCTGGTTATGAGGGGTGGAGGGCAAGTGAGTCTCCCGTGAGTGCTCAATCCTCCTGTTAGCTCAGATGCCTGGCGGGAGGTTAGGTGGCCGTTCATGGCGACTGGTTTGGGGGCTGCCTTCTGGGCGAGGGGCTCCTTTGTAGGCGCGATTGACGAAGGGTGGCCACGATATGTGCGGCGTGGTCGACGTCCCCCAATATTGTGCCCCGCAACATTTGGCCTTTCGTTTCCGCGCTCGAGACGAGGCCCATGGTAGAATGATTCAGAACATTGGGGGATGGAGTCGTCGTTTTTGCAGTCCTGAAGGGTGTCCAGTCGTCGCCCTCCACCACGCAGGGGACGTCTTTTTATAAGCTTGTGGACCCAAGAACGCAAGAGCAAACATCGCAGTGACCACGCGGGCCACTGAGTAGTCGCCCTGTCGCCTTCTTCACTCGTTTCCTTCTCGCCACGTCGTCGTCGTATTCGTCCCCGCCGTTGAATCCTTTGTCGCCGTCCACCCACATGTTGCGAACGCCCTCACATACGTCGCCTTCCACACCGTCTTCGCCGCCTTACTTGCCGCACCCGCAGTCGATCCAGCCTTCACTTTCCACGCCGTCTTCGTATTGCGCCAACGTCTTCCTGTGCGCCTTCGTCGCCTTTTTCACCATCATCGTGTTTGTCTTCAACACATACATCCCTTCGCCTTCCACGTCGTCTTCGGACTGCGCCGACGTCTTCCTGTGCGCCTTCGTCACCTTTTTCGCCGTCATTGTATGTGTCTTCAACACCGACGTCCCTCACGCGAACCTTGTCGCCTTCATCACCATCTGCGCTGTCGCGCCGTCGAAGGCCTTCGTAAACACCTTGGTGGGGGTGCTCTTCCGTCTTCGTCGACTTCGACGTCGTGCTCTATTCCCCCATCATCGCCGCTCTTCTTGGCGGTGATACAGGCCGTCACCCCACCCACCATCCTTGCGTGTCGTGGAGGGTGTGTCGCGCGCCATGGCGTCCCAGGGTTCTGGACGTGGGAGGTCTGCCGGGAAACAGGCGGTCGACGCGTCTCTCCGAGATAAAGGGGTCGCGACGTGTCGAACAAACAGAGGAAGCTCGTCCAAGGGGCCTCTGCGATGGCATACACGCAGACGCGGAAGGCTGGGTGGCGGAGGGGGACGATTCACACGGGGAAAGCGACTTCGCCGAATCGGAGGAAATCCCAATGAAGCGCAAGTCCTCCAGAAGGCAGACTGCAGCCCTCCGGATCGATGACGTCGGTGAGAGGTGTAGCGCAGGGGGCCGCGGGGCAAGTCAACAAGACGCCAATGTCGTCGCTCGTCCGGCGACGGGCCGTGTCGGGGGGAATGCCGCCACGCAGCAGAACCGTGCGCCTTTGCCACGTGTCAACGAACCCCCTGCCGCGCAAGAGGTGTTCGTCCGCGGCCGAACGCCATCGACCCCGCAACAAATGACGGCCACAGAAGTCGGCGTCGCCGCACAAGGCATTGCTTAGGGGATCGCCAGCCGATCTCTTGCGCATGACGATCGCGGGGTGTCGACGGTGGTTGCGGCGCGCGGTGCGGAAGTGCCAAAGGCAGGCGCGGCAACAGCGGGTGGTGCGTCCCAGGGTGGTGAAGGGGGGAGGTCAGGCGGGGTCGCAACTGTGGGGGCTTCGCATGCGGTGGAAGGAGCCTGGGCAGGGGGGGGGAATGCTGGCGAAGGGAGCAGGGCAGGCGCCGTCGCTGGAGTCGGGGAGGACGATGAAGCGCTGGCGAACAGGGTGCGGCAGCGGAGCGCACGTGAAGAGATCAACGCGGCGTCCTGACTGTGGGTGGACGACATTCGTTTCTGGAACGAGACGGAGGGAAACGCCATTGTGAAGCTCATGCAGGAAGCGCGGCTGTATCTTGTGGTGGTGGCACGCGGTGTGCAGCCTCCTGCGATTCGACGCAGCATCGTCCTGCCACACACCACCATCCCGCAGCACAAAATCGACGACGAATCAGAGTTCAGCGCTGCGCAAGATAGGGCGCTGAAGGTGCAGACCATCGCTCTGCATGTGATCCACGGGTGGGTGTTCAAGTCCGCGAGCAGGCAACGGGGTTACCACGCTGCGTACAGGTACGCGCTGAACCATGCGGCGACTGACATCGCGCGCGCGATCTGGATGGGGGAAGACTGGTGTATGTGTGTGAGCCCCATGGTTTTCCACACTACGCTCGACATGGACATGAAGCTGCCACTGTGGTTCATCGGCGGTCACATCAAAGACAGGCACGAGGACGACGAGCTGGCGGCGTATCAGGAAGCGAGCGTCCAGAGACTGGTGGGTGCATTCACGAGCGCCGTGAGCATGGCGGAGGGAGTCGACGGTGGTCGGGTGTCGCATGAGAGGCTGAAGAGCGTAGCCGAGGCAATGCGGGTAATGCTCGCCGCGACGATGTGGCTTATGCGGATGGGCGGTGACGATCGTCGCGCCCATTATGACGCGTGGGTATTCGTCCAGCTGACGGCGAAACCCACATTAATCGCATCCATTCATCACTCGTTCGACGCGCATCGCCACATCGTGCAGGCCGCAACTGCCATCACAGACAAGCTGGCGAAACCCCCGATCACCTTGCTGGCCCCTCCAGTGTACATCCCGGACTGGGCGTCAATCGGCGTGAAATTCTCGCACGACGCCACTTTTTCTTCCCCAATGGAGGCTCAAAAGCTCGATTGGTTGGGCACAGGGCCACCGGAAGACGACGACGACGCCGCTGTCAATGACGATATGATCGCGGGGGGTTCATGATGCCTTTGGGTGCGCTGGGATGAGGTGGGTGCATGTGTGCACTTTCATGTACAATTAGAACGGGGTGTGCGCCAGGGTTTGCTGCTAGTGCGGACGAACTCGGTGGTCGTTGGGGGTGGACGTTTCGATGTTCGGTGTCACAGCAGCAAGCGCATTTGGGCTGGGGGTTTCTTTTCGACTTTTGTTTTGATTAACATGTTCATCCTTCAGTTAGGAGTTCTTTTTGTTTTTCTTCGGTTCTGTACATGGGAGCAATAAGGGTGGCAATGATTTTTCGTTCTTCGCGCTTGCGTGGTCCTGTTTGCAGCCGTCATGATCTGTTGGCGTACACATTCATAATGGGATCGTCTGTTTTCGAAGATTGAATGCTTGGAAAAAGTGCTAATCGATGTTTGTCCACACACATCATCACGCATGTTGGAAGCGAATGTGGCATGACAAACAACAGACAACCTTGTCCTGCAATTGTGTGTATGTCGTTGTTGGTTAAGGAGAAAGACAAGCCGCACACCATCCACGCCGCAGACAATAAGGAACATGGCAGATCGCTGTGCGTGAGAACATGAAAAGAGGATAACAATAAGAAACCAAAAAAATATGAACGTCGAAGAAAAAAAAAAAA